TCTCTTTCTGTTTCCTGACATTTTTTTAATAGCAAGTACTTAAATAGTACTTAAGAAAAAAAAAAACAAAATTAAAGCGTTCGAAAAAAAATAGTATAGTGTTGTTAGAAAAATACATAATAGATAATATAATTAAAAAAAATATTTAATGTCTATTCCAAAATGTTTAATAACTGTAATCTTTTAAAAAGATTTGTTTTTTTTTGCGAAACTTTAAAACTTTATGTGCTTGAAATCAAGTACGACATGATGAAATAAAACGATGCGATATCGAGGCCAACGAGTAAAATTAGATGGTGAGGATGGAATCTGAACGCGGTATACGATCCGAAATGGAAACGGAAACACTTCGGTCGTCTACATGAAAGATGGCCGCAATGCAAACTCTGCTTAAGAAAATGGCGCTTTACCAGTCGGGTGTCCCACGCTCTCGTGATAGAAAATAATTGCGAAATATATTTTTTTCTTTTTATTTGATAACACTACATAAATCAGAATTGAATTTTTTTGTATAATTGCTGATGCAGAATAATATATAATTTCTACATCACTTTTATAATATTCATTTCATAAAATTTATATAAAAATATGTATTATTGTACAAGAGCTTTTATTCTGTTTTTGAGTTTCCCACTTGTTAACAAATAAACACAATGTAATCAAGATTTTAATGCATTATATTAAATCATTGATGTATGTGCAAAAAAAGAATAGATAGTACAATTAAACTTTTTCCTTTATGAGGAATTTTTCCTCTATATATGCACACGTTTTTCCTTCTATTACTTCCAACACCAACTCTTTCCTTCTTGATGGCAACTTTCCAAACTCTTTCTCTCTTTCTCTCTCTCTCTCTCTCTCTCTTTCACGTCAAATTTTGTCAGGTTTCATAATATTTGTATATCATTACAATAAAAATAAGATGATAAATAATAAAATTTCTTGCAACTAATTTTTTAAATATTATTAACAACATATTCTAAATAAATGATGTATGATCATGTTTTCATTTTTAAATATAAATACATATATCATTATATTAAGAAATACATACATTTAAATACTAAAACGTGATTAATGCAAAATGCTGTTGAAATATAAAGCAATATATATATATATATATATAGCTATTGATTTTATACGATATTTACTGTAAAGCACGATTTAAAAATATATTTCAAAAAATATAGGATAAGAGAAAGTGTTAAAAATACAGAGATAAAAAAGATTATATTTTCTGTTTTAATATTTGTTAATTTCTTATTAGCAATGTTAATGTAAATTAAGCAAATTAATGTTTAATGTATGTTTATATCAGTGTATACGAAGTATTTTGTGTATCATTTATATCTGTATGTCAAATATTAATTTTTATTATATTGCAAGAGAGTAAACAAGTTAATTTATACAATTTATTATTCACGCTTAACGATTTCTAGTAATACGAATTAATTAATAATCATTATGCTAGAAATAGACTTGCAATGTTAGTCGTCGATACCATAATTAAAAATTAGATTATTGACTCTAACTTTTAATTTAATATCAGTTTATTCATAATTCGCGCATTTTGATTTCACTTCAAAGGAGCTTTATTGACGAATTGTATATGAATGATGAATAACAGATAGAAATTCTGATGACAAATCTGCATAACACATTCATACGATTTACATATTTCATATGAATAAGTTTTGAATCATCACACGAATAGCACGAATAGCATATCGTCTGGCGTTTCTCTAAACATAAACATGCCTAAAAATAATGATACTACAAAAAAAATTATAAATAAATTGCTTACGGTATAATTAATATACATGCATAAATGCAGCTACTTCTTAATTAATAAAATAACAGATTTTATTAAAACGTGTACATCCGTAAATATATTGTTAAATTTAAAATACATGACATGATCTTAGATAATAAAATCAAATTTTTAATGTGTATAAGTAACATACAAAAATATGTAAGACTACTATTTTTATTTCATTCTTAATTTTTGTATATTATAGAATAGTATTTAAAACGAACGTGGCATAGTAGACAGCGCACTGGTCTACTATGCTAGAGGTTCTGGGTTCGAATTTCCGACAGAGCCAAAATATTTACGCTCGTCTCCTCTCGGAAAGCAATGTCAAACCATCGAGAGTAACTTTATCTAGTACGTCTCTCTAATAAAAATTTGCCCTTCGGAATCGGCGTTAAACCGCAGGTCCCATATACCTGTGTATAATCATCGTGCGCACCACAGGTTTATGAGAGATATCCACCACGCTCAGACATGAGCAATGGGACTGAAAAAAATACAATGTATAATGTAGTATTATTTAGTATAAATATAAAATATAGTAAATATAATACAAAAAATACAAGATATAATATAAAATAGATATATCAATAAAATTCTTAAAACAGATTTTAATTACAAATAAAAAAAATTACAAATTTTAATGATAAAAAAATGGCTATTACTATAATATAGATTAAAACTAAAAGGAGATTTAAAAATAATATATATTAATTTTGGGATTTCTTGATCTGGTCACCATATAGCGCGGAAAAGAATGACGTGTGTGGAAAGTACGTGGAAAACGTCATGTCGGTCCGGTTATTTCTCCGGTCGGTTGGGAAAAAGAATCCGCGACGGCCGGTATTTGCCGAGTTACGAAAGTAAGCAGCTTTAGAAAGTATAGTGCGCGACAAGAGGTGAACGGCGACCTAAGTCAGGGATCTTGCGCGATTACAGAGCCCAGCGGCGTATTTGGGCAATACTAGATCCGGAGAGTAGGCGGAGCTTAAATTAAATTACATGAAGCATTGATTTTTTTACATTTTGATATTTTCAAAATTCGAACTATAAATTAATAATTATATATATAAAACTATAAATTAATAAGTGTGTGTGTGTGTGTGTTTGTGTGTGTGTGTAATCACATGTGTCAGTGCGTGTATGTATTCTTAGAACTGTTAATTATGGTCTTTTCTCATAAACATAGTTTCACTTAAAAAAAAATTCCAAAATACTTTGCACTTATATGCAATGCATAACATAATAATTTATAAATTCAAGTATATATACATATGGAAATATCATCAGATCATAACACATTAAAAACACAAATTTATATTCCAATAAGTTCCAATAAGTAATATGAAAATTGCAGTATACATAAAATTAAAAGAAAGCAAAAGAGAAAAATCCATAGAAGTATGGCCAGTACTCGCTCAGTGTTTTCCGTGATCCCAGAGCCTTTTAATATATTTATTACAGCAAGGGGAACACGGCTTCCACTGTTGAGTCCGTGCTATGTATGAATGTTAAATCATGAATTTAATAACCCACAGTATCTTAGATTATATGAAAGTTAAGGAATTAAAGAGATCAAAGTTTCAAAAATGAAAAATGAAATATATATTAAAAATAAATCAAATAAAAGAGAAAAAATTCTAATATCATTTAGACAAAAATTTTCAATATCAATTAAATGAAAAACTTGAGCATATATCATGATTTAGGATATTAAATATTTAAAAATAAACAATGTGTATAGCAAAATAAAAAATATTAAGTCACATGATCTTTGAATCTAAGAATCTATTAATCAAAAATTTGGAATCTACAAGATTGAATTGTAATAATAGAATATAGGACTTTTAAGATTCGTAGATTGTATTGGAAAATGGGTATAAAAATAAATATTTTTATCAAAATATCGCATTAGTCTCCACATATTTAGAAAAAATAAATAAAAAATTAAATGAAAAATCAATTTTTCCATTTTACTATTGAGCTTTATAAAACCAAAAAACTCTTATACGTGTATTTATATTATCATCAATTCCCCATTTTCCTTTCGATAAAAGAATGAAAAGAAATGACGAGATTTGAATGGAAGACTTTTACCGCGCACATTGTAAAAATCGGGAACACTATGGTTCAAGGCAGAAAACCGGTGTATTATCGTCAAGTTGCGCTTTGTCGCGGGGCCGATAGGAGAGAGAAAAAGACTGACTGTTGTTTTGCATATAAGCCAAGCCAGTTTCTCACCCCCACTGACCCAGCGACCGAGAGAGAGCTGCGCTATCATCGCGCAAGACAAGAGAAGTGGCTGGGATGAGCCTTCTTCGTCCACCACTGCTTCCTGCTGTGTTCTTCGGTACGTATTCTCTGCCGTCAGCCGCCGTAACAAACGTTAGATCACACACTGGCCCAGCGAGCGAGCCGGAGCTACGGAACGATCACGTGACGACGACGGTTGCGTCACACAGTTCGGCCCCTCTCGCCGAGTCTTTCTTCCCGAGCGGACCAACGAGTGAGAGGGGACCGCCATCTTTGCCCACTGAGTGAGCGCCAATGTGCGAAAATGAGAGAGAAAGAGCGCGAGAGACAGAAAGAAGGGCCGTGAACACACGGCACCAACGATGGACCATCGACATTTTCTTTCATTTTCTTTCAGTCTTCCTGTTTGCTACTTTTTTTCATTATAAATGATGAAGTAGAAAAGTATTAAAATATTAGAAATATTGAAATTTTGCATTTGTAACAAATTGGATAATTAATAAATTTCGCAATGTGAAACATAAAAATATAAAGATCGAAATATCAAGAATTAAATCAAGAGATTACCATAATTTTGAAATAAGAAATTCGCAAAACTCAAGTATGAAATTTAATATATACAAAGGAGCTGTAATTAAAATTTGCAAAATTGAAAAATTGTATTGATTGGAAGAACGAAGGTACTAACGAGCCGTAATATCTTGCATTCACTTTTTTCGCAGTATATTTTCTGGGAATTTTGCCAGGAAGAGCGCATAAAAATCGATCGCTAGATCTCTTGCTCACTGCACAGATTGCGTTGGCTTCGAGCGGAAATGTTTAATAGTATTAGGCGCGCGCGAGAAATAGAGATGAAAAGAGGGGGGAAAAAAGAGAATGAACGAATTCAAAGCTGCGATAAATGGGTTACACGGTCGCAGTCAATAGGTCGCGTACTTTTTCTCCCGAAAGTTCTGCTTTCGTAGGCAAGAGAGAAAGAGAAAGAAAGAGGAGCAAATGCGACGAAAATCTTTTATCCCTCGTTGCTCGTCTTTCTTTCCTCTTTTTTCCTTTCGTTCTTGAAAGTAGAATTTTTTTGTGACTGACCTATATCGTCTTTAATACTCACACACAGGGAAAAATCAAATCCAAAAATACGCACGATGTCGACCGCGTAATCAGCACGATTTAAGCCAATGCTTGTCCCGCTTCGGTCACGCCACGCACGCAAAATTTGCGATTCGTGCAGCAGTGCTCGTATAGGCGGCGCCTGTGATTTCTGTAGGTTCCTCTTCTTTTAAAATAGATATTCGTACCTTTGCAGCACAAATTATTACCTTTTTGGCTTTCTCCTAGTTCCCCTTTTTTCTGAATTTAAATTTAATTTTTTTTCCTTAATTATGTTATAATAGATTCTCCTCGTAACCTGAACAAACTTGATCGTTATTTGAAAACGATTAATTCCATCCTCTTGATATTAGGCAAGTAAAAGTACTTGACTTATAGATCCTGCTTGTTATTACGATAAGGCAGATTTAACTTTTAGAAGTCGTTCTTGAGCATATATCAGACTCAATCTTGATTATGTTTTTAGTGATTTCCTTGAAGCCTTTTACGAAGAATCCAGAGAACTATTAATATCCGCACTTTTTCTTTTAAATCTTCAAAAAGCGGGAGATTTCAGAAAACTCAAAAGAAAAACTGTAGATATCTTTTTTCTGTCAGTTCTCTGTCGCGGACGGGCAAAACGACAGGTGGAGTCGATCGCACGCGAAATGATCATTCGTGAGAACGTGAGGCGCCGAACGAACTTCGTACAGATCGAGACTGACGCGAAACACGACCGAATCCGAGAGCGAGCTACGACGAACGAGAATGCGCTCGAGCGCGTAGCCCTTACCGCACTCTCAGTCTTCATCCCCACCATTCGTCGCACGACGGCCGCATCCGGCGATGACGATGGCGCGCACTCGCGAGAGTACAGCCGCCTGCTGCCATTGGTTGAACGCCGTTGCTACTTGAGTCACGATTGGCCGACACGCATGCACACACATACGCGCTTACGCGCGCGCGCCCGTCGCAACGACGCACACTTGGCGGCCTGCCCGCCTCCCTTTCCCTTCCCCTCCCCTCCCCCTCTTCGCTCTCTCACCGTTCCCCAACACACACGCGCATCGATATACGCGAGCGCGAGCGTGCGCGCGTTTTGCACGCGCGCGCAATATTTCCATCGTCGGAAACTTGTGTGTTAGGCGGCGTGTATGTATCGTCACGCGCGTACGTGGAGGTGGATTCACTCTCGCCAGCACGATTCTATAACGACAGCCGAACAGGAACTGCTGGCGGCGCGCGCGAGAACCCGCTACTTATGCCCCACGGGTGGGAAGCAACGACGGAATCAAGCCATGCGGTTCGCCTTTGGACTCCGACTGCTGCGAATCCTAAGAGCCAATCGCTGTGACCACGTTGCAGCGCGGTACAAGCCGGAAGATTGATTTGGTTATGTAAAAAATGCACCGCGCATCGTAGAGGAGATTATATGATGCATCTTCGTTTCTCTGTACAAAGTTTTCAAGTTAAATACGGCCAATTCTGTATCCTTTATCTGTAGGATCTTTTGTTTTTTATTAGAATATCATATAAATACGTATTTTTAACAATATAATAAAATTATTAATATTTGTATACACACACACACACACACACACATATATATATATATATATATATATATATATTACACACACACACACACACACATATATATATATATATATATATATATATATATATATATATATATATCGTGATATGACATTTATCAATAATTACTAGAAAATTTTAAGTTTGATGTCTATTTAAGTTTCTAATTGTTGCCATTTTTCATAACTACGTATTTTAGACAATAAAAAGAATAAGTTACTTTTCTCAAATGCAAAAAAACTGTATCCTTATTTTCTAATTTACATATAAATCTTATATGTGAAATCTATAAATGTAATATTAAATTAATAATTAAAATTTATTCTGATTAAATAAATTCTTATTAAAATAATTTATAGTAATGAAAGAAAAATAAGACTTGTATTCATATTAATACAATGTAATTTAATTCTAATGGGAACGTAATGTTACGTCCGACATAGTGGATTTAAAATAGAAGAATCTTAAAAATTCGCATTCCCTATATCTTTCTTTCATCTCCATCAATTTGCCGCAAAACGCTCGCATTAAACGGCGAAGGCGGCGGCCGAACCTTTGACCCATTTTTCTATCGATCTCGCCTGGTTCTGCATCTAGGGCGTCTCAACGGCCGCGGCCCTGGCTGTCGAGATTTCCGCCACTCCCTGAACGTGGAATCCTCGTGCTGACCTCGCACTCTATAGTATTTTTATTTAGGAACACTTAAGTTTCTACGGTGTTAATAAAACAGTCATTTTAAAATAAATAATATTAAAATAAATATTATTGAAAAGGGAAAAAACAGATAAAAATAAATAATGAATGAGCAATTGTTAAACTTACTTTGTAACGTCCGACAACAAACTAAAAAAAATTAATTTATAAAAATAAATTCTATTTGAATTTCAAATTCAATTCAAACTTTAATTATATCAAAAGTAATGAGAATTATTCGTGAAGAAGATAGAAAAGGGTATCATGAATATTAGTATTTATATAATGTAGCCTTAATGAATTAATTGTGCTTTATGAAATATTTACTCTTCATGCGCTCAACTATATAATAACACTGTGCGTTTCGTCGGAGAAAGAGAGAGAGAGAGAGAGAAAGAGAGAGAGAGAGAGAGAGAGAGAGAGAGAGAGAATATTTCGTTACGTAACGCTCGATGATTATCGAACGGGCATAGGAGTCAACTACAATTAATAATTCAATAATTATATTCAATGATTATATGAAGATGATATAAATTGAAAACATTCATTTTTACATCCTCATTCAGCAACTCTTGTAATTCGGTTATTCACAAGGACACTATTAAACGTGGACAATAAATTACAGTAACATAAGTACATGTGTATGTAATCAAATTATGTTATTCAGGATATATCATTTCAGAATTAAGTATGTATTTTTCTAATAGAATTCACATTGTGTTAAATTTTTTTCTATAATAATTACTATGTGGAATCTCGCTCTCTCTAGAACTATTTACTATAAAGAAATATGGACGGTCATTTGTTTTGCTATTAAGCCCGTGTTAGATTATGCGCGATTTATGCTCTTTGATTCGCTGATTCGTGAGATTCATGAATAGTGTGAATAAGCAAATTAAGCGAAATAGTCAAAGTAAACAGTTAACGTAATAGCAATAGTTAATAAAATACATCTTTGTTATCAAATTATTTTTGCATCTTTCAACATCTATATATTTTTAAATGTTGTTTCTTATTTCCCGTTAATTTTTTTTATCTTCATCTTCCGGCATTTCCGGTAATTTTTTACTTCGACGTGTGTAATGTGAGCGCATGCACACACTCGTACACATTCTTTGCTAAAAAGTAGAAACCGAAGTTACATAAAAAAATCTTGCGTATAAATTATGCTTAATCCGCGATATGTAGGTATCATGATGTTCCGAGTGTGAATACTCAAAAAAAAATCAATTATTAATCGTATTAATCGTAATTAATTATTAATAGTAGTTAGTGAGACAGTCGAAAAGGTTAAGGCGATAGCGTTCAGTCACAGCGTGGTACGACCGGGGGACGGTGGTGGGGAAAAGGAGGAAGGAAGGGTTAGGCCGCTCCGTAAAACGTCGGGACTCGACTCGCCGACCGTCCTATTTCTATGCTCGGGAAAGTTCGTGAACCAGGGCGATCGTGCACGAAGCGACGGAGATATAAGTAGGTCGTTCATAGCCGCACGTGTCGTCCTTGACTCACATAGAGCGGCGCGCAGGCGCTCGCTGTTGCCGCATTGCTGGTCGCTAGGGCTCTTTCTTTGTCGTCTCTGCGCGTCGCTGCGAGTGTGTACGTGCGTGTACTTTGGCGCTTGGATCGTCGCTACTTGTGTGCGTGCGTACGCACGCTCGCGCGCTCGTTCGCGGATGGGAGCTTCCCGTTGCTCGATGGATGCGCGTGCGCGTATGTGTATAGGGTGTCCTAAAAAAATGAGTTTGCGTGACGAGAATTCTTGTCTTTTTTTTTTTTTCGAGCCATTCTGCTCCCATGAAGTATTCGCGGATCGAATACTCACGTAGAACTTATGAAAAAAATCTGATTGGATTGGAAAAGCATGGTGTCCTAGAATTTCTCTTAAAGAGAGACTTCTTGTCAAACGTTATCTTTTGTCTCAAAATCCCATTCTTCCATTATAATTATTTCGTATAGTATATTCGTGCATGTACACGGATGATAATTGATGGGAAGACGAAGATTCGTCAAAAAAGAGTGATTCTATTTCCTGTTCCTTATGAGAAAATAAATGCGGTGAGATCAAGACACGCAAGTGACGCAATGCTTCGCCCGGTGATGAAATTATATGTATTCTCTTTCTTTTCCTATTCCGTTACGTTTATAACTTATATATACTATTAGTTGTTCGGCATTATTATGGAAAAAGTTAACAATAATAGCGTCTATAGGATAGATTTAGATACACGCGCGCGACCTTTGCATTTTGCCGCATTCTACAGCCGCGAGACTTCGCGACGGCAGCTTACTATCGTTGTCAAGGACATTCTAGCATCACGAAGACCTCGGTACGGAGAATCAGCGGTAGCCTGGCTTGGCTTTGGCATCGTGGCATGAGTATTGATCGCAGCGGGAATTCAAAGGGGAGGCCACCACGTTGGGCTATTCGAACCCCAATTGGATCACCCTACCTCATGTGGCAGGCAGAAGAGAATACGAGCGAGAGCGGCCTATTTTTCAATACATCAGAAATGAGATATTTATATATACGAGACGCGGAATGTTGAAAACGAGAGTTTTCGGAGTAAAATGAGATACTCTGTCTCATAATATATAATTACGATAGGAAATTTTAGCAAATGATCTAGAATAGATAAGCTAATTCTGAAATGTGATCCAAATTATAATAACAACAACAGATATTAAATAACGAAAGCTGTGAACGTACAGCCATTTATAATTACTCTATTTGAGTTATCGCTGTGAATGTAATCAGTAGTAGTCCTTGATCAGGCAAAAGAGCTACTATACAACCCGACGACCATGAAATCGTGAATCTCACGATTTATAGCATTCACTTCCTAAACCAAACAGGTGTGCATATACCGTGGGAATACGACAAATCATATCCAAGTATCATATCAAGTTTTTCCATTAATTATTATAGTACGTGTTTAGCAGTTTTCAATATTGATTACATGTAACGTTGAATAAAATTGGAATGAAACAAAGCAAAAATCAAAGTGATACAAACGAATATCACGATAAATTGAAATTGATAATAAATAATAAAGTAAAATAAAAAAAAAAATGAAAGAAAAACAACGATGTATCGAGGCTATCGAGATTTATCGATGTGCAAAATAACTATTTTTCCAGGCAAATAACTATTTTTCTTTGGAGGATGTTTTTCGATGCGCGAAAGATACAACACAATAAAGATAGATCTGCGGTTATGCCGCGCTAATTATACACGTGCATTACATTCCGCGATTCGATCTCTGTATTTAATTCTCAATTAAATCGTTTTTCCTTGATATTTTCCCTTATCCTTGGCTCCATACCAGCGACCGTTCTCTTCTTTTTTGCCTTCAGGCATCATTGCAAATCAATGTCCGTGTATTATTTTCGCAATTCAGTTGTGGATAATTACTCCACAACTGAATGGAATTTTATTTCTTTTAAATATTTTTTAAAATAAGATAAAACGAAGAAAGAGGAGGGAAACAAGAAAGAGAGGATTTTTAAAAAAGCATCCGTACGTGCGTGTTTTTTCTCCCTATTTATATCAAAACTGTTGCACACCGCGGAACGTATTTTGCTCTTTAAAAATCACACCGTTACATTTTATACTTTGGCACGCGGTTACTCGCATGGCGACGTTTCTTAGATAAGCGTATTCTTATCTACACGCGTGCTTACGTAAGCAACAACTCGCGCAAACTCTGCCCAGCTTCGCCGCGCTCACCGCCGCTGTCACTTATCTTTTCCTTTTTCATCGTATTCTTTCTTTCCTTATCGGCTTTCGTGATTCTTCCTCGCGGAGTGTTGTAATCAGAATACTCGACTCGTCGTGATTTTGTAATACGGGATGCTCCCGGCTCTTATTTATAGATAGTCTTTCATCAATTTAGCTGAATTATTTTTTTCTCCAGATTAAATGTTTTACTGAATAATAATATCAACATCTTAGAAATTTTAATATGCTCCGATTTGTCATGGACATTTTTGCTACGTGCATTTTGTCCTTCTGCTATTCCACGAAAAGAGCATACTGTATATATCCGTATATATTATAATACGCAAAATTCGATCGAATTGCTAACAAATAAAGGAAAATCTTTATTTCCTTCTTTTCCTTTTTGCCAATTATTAATTCTGAGCTATTTCTGAGCTATTTTATAGATATACTCGTATTCATCTTCAATCAATATGTCCTATTTGAAATTTTGAAATTTTCGGACTTAGTAGAATCAATCAATAAAAAAAGACACATTTTAAGTTACAGACAATATTTTTCTTTTATCACGATCAAAAACTTCAACGATAAAACATTCAAAATATAGAACTGAAAATTCACCTGAGTTAGTATGACTCGGCATGAGTTCCCGAAAGTTAAACAGAAATAACGCATAAATTTGAGAAAATATGAATTATTTTACTTATTAAAATTATTTTTCGTTAGATTTTTGTGGAAAATATATGACTTTCCACGCCTATGCATCGTCATATAACGTACATACCACGTGTCCTACCCTCGCGTGACTAAGGTACTGGAAGCACGTGGCCCCCCACCTTGTTAAATCGGGTACGAAAGAAATAGATGAAGTCTAGGCATTGCAAAATAGAGATGAAGGAAGATAATAGAAGATAAAAAAGTTAAGGTAAGAAGATAAAGATGAGAGAGAAGGTGAGAGACAGAAATATGCACGTAAGAAAAGGATAGGAGAAGATAAATAAAAGGAAAGAGAGTAAGTAGAAAAGGATGAATAGATAGAGTGTGAAGAGAATCGATGTTGGTGGAAATAAAGAGATCGACAGAATCGTGACGAGGAGAGAAGAAAGGAATGGTGGGGATAGAATTGAAAGTGACAGAAAGAGAGGAAGGAGGATAGAAAAAGGTGCGATGAAACGAATGAACGAAGCAAACAGTAGAAAGAGACATATCGTCTAGGTATTGTGGAAGGATCGTGGGGAAATCGAGAGAGAGAGCGAGAGCGAGAGAGAGAGAGAGAGAGAGAGAGAGAGAGAGAGAGAGAGAGAGAGAGAGAGAGAGAGAGAGAGAGAGAGAGAGAGAGAGAGAGAGAGAGAGAGAGAGAGAGAGA